GGGGGTGACGGAAGCACAGATGGCAGAGCTCAACCAGCGGTACCTGGCGCTCCGCAAAGAAACCGAGGAGGCCACGGCCGCCTGTGCGAAGGAAGAAGAGGAGATGAAGAAAACAATAGACGAATTGGAGGCGGAAAAACAGGCCAAGCGGAAGGAGCATAAGCGGAAAGAAGAGCAAACGGAGAAGCTGAAACGCGAGCAAGGCGCCACCGAGCGCGCCATGCGCAACGCCATATCGCGCCGGGCGCAGAAGGAAAAGCGGCTCAAGGAGAAAACCGCCGAGCTCGAGCGCATCCGCAACAGCATCGAAAAGTGGACGAAGTCGATCCAGGAAATGCGCGAAAATCAGGAGGACTACAATAAACAGCGAACCGAGCTCGACGAAGAGTACCAGCGGAAAGTCAACGAATTACGCGAAAGCAACAAAAATGTGCAAGAAGAATGCGCGAAGTTGGAGGCCGAGCTCAAGGAGAAGCGTCGTCTCGTCAAGGAACTCGAGGACGAACGCACCAAACTCGAAAGCCACGGCGAGGACCCGGGCATGCGAAACGAGATCATGGCCCTCAAGCGCCAGCTGCAGCGGATGGAAAACGAGTACCGTGGCCGTCTGAACCACGAGAACCGCCGGCGGGACGGCCTCGATGCCCATATCCTCGTCTTGTCAGCCCAGATGCAGCAGATCCCGCAGCCCAACTACGGCGCCTACAACCCTGCAGCCAGCCCGCCCATGATGCCGAATATGATGAGCCCGCCCAGCATGGCACAGAGCATGATCTACGACTACGACCCGACTGCGGCGAGCCACCCGACCCATCTCAAGCAAGAGCGCCGGGCGAGCAACCCGTTGTCGAGCGGTGCCGTGTCGACGCCGGCGCCTGTCTTTGCCCACACGGACCTCAATGGACTGCCGCCGTCGTCTACGCCGCCCTTTGTCAGCTCGGGTCGGCCACCCACGCAATCGGGTGGCTTTCTCACAGGTCCGTTCATGGGCTCATCAGCAGATCATCCGGGCCCCGAGGATGCCGACGCCGGGTTTAAGGCGCTGACCATGGGCGCTCCGCTGAGCCCGTCGGCTACCTCTCTTTTGCCCTCCAACATTTTTGCAGACGACGAACCGCCCAGCCCGTCCTTGAATGTCCGGACCATGAGTCCGTTCACTCCCTTGGACGCGCAGTCTCCCGACATTCTCGGCAGCCTCAACAGCTTCACGAATAGCAACGGCAACAACAACAACCACAAGGCAACCGATAGCAGCAGTAGCCACGGAAGCCAAGAAAACAGCAACAGCAACAACAGCAGCAATAGCAGCAACCCACTCAACAACACCACTGGTTTCACCTCCACCGACTCGCCCAGGACGTTCCCCGAATCGATTGCAGCCGGTGCTGTTAGCGGGCCCCAGTCACCAGCCTCGTCGCACCGGTCCAAGAGCATCTTCTCGAGCCCACACGCATCGTCGCAAAACCTACCATTCTCGTCGTACGGTATCGAGGGCTTCGACGGGCGCCCGCCGCCGACGAGCGCCCTCCCTTCGCCGACTGCCGACCCAGCTACCGTATCCGGCCAGCCCGCGAGCAGTACGCGATTCAATCTCTTCTCGTTCCAACGCTCCCGCGCAGCGAAGGCAGCCGAAGAAGGACCAGCACTCGGCACCCTTAAGCATGGTCAGAGCCAGTCGTTCCCGCGCCAGGGCGAAGACGCCGAAGGCAGCAAGAATCGCCGAATCAGCCTGTCGGCGTGGAGCATGTTCAATCGCAACTCGGCAGGCCCTGAGATCATGGAGCATCAGTTCGGTCCGGATGGCCAGCCAATCAACAAGGCGGGCGGATTCTCCGCGCGCAACCTGTTTCCCTTTGGCGCGCGCGGCGGCAATGTCTTTGCGGATCGCGATACCAGCAGCCCAAGACCGGCCTCCATGGCGTCGATCGACATGCCTCGGCCGTCGACGGACAGCGGCTCCATTTGGGGTCCGCCCGTTGACAACGGTGCGGCGGGCGCGGGCCTTGGCAAGGCCAGTCGCCTGTGGCCTCCGGACAACGCATGGCCCAGCCGCAACCCATCGCGACGCCCGTCGATTCACGGATCACCCTCGGCTCTCAAAACCAACCTCGCATCGGCGGACGATGAGATACTCGACGAAGAGGAGCTGCTCAACCCGGAAACGTCGCCCAGCCAGGTCGGCGTCATTGGCAGCCGCCCCCCTGTACCAGTGCCTAAAGTCAACAAGACGCTCAACCCCGCGGCGCCGACGTTCATGGCCAACATCTTCCGGCCCAAAGGCGACAAGGACAAGGACCACAAGGACAAGGCCAAAGACAAACCAAAGGGCAAGGACAAGGGCAAGGACAAATCCAAGGGCCGTGACAAGGAGAGGACCGCCTCCAAGGAACACCGTGACTCGACGGAGGTCACGGCCGGCACCAGCGTGCCGAGCTTGGTGGTCGAGGACTCGCCGTCGGTCTCGCGCATGTCCCGTGATGGGCTGTCGGTGCATACTCAGGCGTCGGTGTCGGTGTCCGAGTCCCGCGACTCGCTCGACTACGTCGTGTCCAACACAACGTCCGAACCCAACAGCGTCGGGATGCTGTCGTCGTCCAAGGACAGCAGCGAGAATGCGCTCCTCAAGCTCTTTAAAAAGGACAGCACGGGCAAGCTCAGCTTCCCGCGCCGCATCGGACGCTCCAAGGGCGGCGGCGCGGGCAGCATGGCCGGCTCCGACAAGAATGCGAGCGTCTCGGAGCAGCGGTCGAGCTTTGGCGACTTTGACGACATGGGCGACGAGTCGGTGCTGTCGGCGGCGAGCAGCCGGCGCACGGGCATGAGCGTGCCTCTGGCGGCGGCCAGCAGTGTCAGCACGAGCGGCGGCGGCGCGGATAGTGTCACCAGCAGCCCGTCGCTGGGCCCGTCCAAGTCGTCGCGCGACGGCAACAGCAACGGCAAGAGCGAGGGCGGCAAGCTCAAGGGCACCGGATGGTTCTCGATGAAAAAGAAGAACCGCGAGAAGGAGAGCCTGGACATTGACCGCGAGCGCGAGCGCAGCCTCCACGGCCTGGGCCTCGGCGAGCCCGACTCGACGGTCTCGTCGCTGGCCACGACAACGTCCAACGTCACGGACGAAAGCGATAGGAAGGCGTAGTCTATGATGGGCAGAGCTGAGCAGTGCTGGACGGCCTTTGACGGCTGTATAGATGGGCATAGGTTTGCAGGTTGCAGGATGCATTTGCTGTCCCTGATTTCGCATTTTGCTGGTGGTAGGCTGGATATGCTTACTTTGCTGGTTTTGGCGTCTGCAGGTGTGAAAGGACGGAAAAGAGAGAAAACGCTGAACAATACAAATATTGAACAACATTGTAGAATGGGTCTATATGCAGTTGTGCAACGGTGACGTGAAAATAAGAATGAGAATGAGATGAGTATGTGCATGAGATGCTCTGTAAGTGAGCAAGTTTACTGTAGGGCGGTGTACGAATACAGGCGAGACAGGGCAGTCCAGGCACCGTTGTGGGGTTGCCGCTCGGCGTTGAGTGCCCTGTGCCAATTCTGAGCCGATCTTTTTCTGCCCACAGTAGCCCACCAAATGTCACCACCCAGGTAAAGCGGGGCCCTAAATCCCGGCTTTCTTGCTCAGCTTTTACGGCAGACGTCCCCTCCTCTGCACAAATCGTTCGATTCCGACAACGTCCAACGACGACCACAAAACGAAGCCACCACGAGCTCGGCTGCCGGTCCCAACGACAACCCCGACGACTGACGAGCGACGATTGCCAATTGCCGACGGTCAGCTGCGAAACGGCACGTCGCGACCCCTCAGGCCCTCCTCCTAACACGCGGCCTGCCCTCCATCGGAGCGAGCGCTTCCTCGTATGGCCGCGGTGGCCATGGATCCGCCGACCGGCCGTTCTTCTTCTCCTTCGCCGTCCGCGTCCCCACATACAATGGCGTCCCTGCCAGCAAAATCGCCGTCCGCCGGCCTGCCCATGCCCTCGCCCAACCCGCTGCCGCTCTCGGCGTCCCAGGAAGCCCAGGTCCGCGACCTCTATTATGAGCGCGTCCGCAAGCAGTGTTCAGAGGAGATTAAGGGTGTGTTGTCTGCTGCTCCCCTGCTGCTGCTCCTTTCTTTCTTTCTGTTTGTTGCCCTTGCTAACCCCAATGCCAGCCTTTGCGGACTGTGCGCTGGGCCGCACCTTTTCCGTCGTCTTCAAGTGCCGCGACAAGAACAACGAAATGAACGCCTGCCTCCGGTCCCACGCCACGCCGCGCGCGCTCGACGAGGCCCGGGAAGAGTGGTTTGCCATGCGGCAAGAGCGCGCCGCCGAGCGCGCCGCCAAGGCCGCGCGCAAGGCCGAGCAAGAAAAGCTGATGCGGGAGTGGTGGGGCCTGGAGGGCGCGGACGGCTCGCAGGCCGGGCGCGAAGACATCCAGGCGAAGCGGCGGCGGTACGAAGAGTCGCGGCGGCACCGGCCGGAGCGGATTGGCGGGTTGCCGGCCAAGGACCGGCCGCGTTTTGACGATGCTACCGCGGACGAGGCGACGAAGCGGTAGCCGTTTGCGCGGGGCCTTGTCTGTACAGGTTTTGTGTCTCTTGTTTTTTTGGTCTTTTTCTTTGGCGCTCGGGATGGTGGAGGGGGGCATCTGGTTCTTTTTTATAGGTTTTTTTTGTCTCTTTTTGCTTTGCACAATTTCCTCTCATACATGGCGTTTCTTTATTTTTCTTGTTTCTCTTTCCATTTTCTTTCGCAGTTTACTTCAGACGCACATCGTCATGATATGTATATCTCTCGCGATGTTTGTTCTTGGGTTTCTCATGGATCCAAGTGACTATACCGTTGTATATTATGACCACCAAAAGGGGGGAAATGTTGCATGGACAGCCTGGTCGGCTGGCAGCAGGATACAGAAAACACTCACATACTCTACAATACCAAACATGTACGCATCTTCTATCGCCGCCGTGTCATCGCGTCGTGCAAATATTGCTTCAAAAGCGCGCCTATCCACCCCTACAGGTTCTTCTTCACCAGTTCGGCCACGGCACCGGCCACGCCCCATGAGATCTCGTAGCCGCGTCCGCCGACGCCGTACGCGTGCACAATAACGGCCTTCTTTGCCGTGCCGGACGACGCCGCCGCCACCTCCTCCGCCTCCAACCGCATGCCCCCTCGCCGCGTCGGCCGCCGTCCCACCACGTCCGCCAGCACCTCAAACTGCCCGCGCTTGCTGCCCTCCAGCACCTTAGGGTACGTCGCCGCAAAGTCGGCCAGCAGCTTCTCTCGGTTCGCCAGCGACGGCGACACGTCCCAGTTGTCGGGTTCCTTGGTGCCGCCAATGATGGTGCCACCGTCAAAGTTGCGCGGCACCGAGAACGTCCAGGAGCCGTCGGCGTTTTGGCGCGTCACGGTGGCGTCGCAGGCGTTCCGCACGAGGCACGTCTGGCCGCGCGTGATGAACATGTGCGGGTCGTCGCCGAAGCCGTTGCCGGAGCAGTTGACAACCAGATCAAACCCGCCCGCAGGCGCCCCCAGTGTCTTGTCCGGTGGTGGTGGTAGTGGTGTGCCGGCAGCGGCAGCAGCAGCAGCGGCGGCGGGGGGCGGCGCAAACAGCTCGTGCGGCGCGCGCAGGTCCCGCCGGGCGACTTTCCCGCCGGCCGCGACAAAGCGCCGCAGCAGGAAGCTGCAGTACACCATGGGGTTGACGCACCATGTGCGGTAGGTACAGCCCCAGGTGACGCCCGCCGGGAACGGCGCGTCGGCCGCGCTGTCCGCCTTGCCACCACCGCTGGCGCCGCCGTCTTTGCTCAACACGCGGAACCCGAGGTCGAGGTCGGCGTCGTGCAGGCCCAGCTGCTTCTGGAGAGCCTCGTCGGCCAGCTGCGTGTAGTCGGGTCCGGGCGTCTCCAGGTACTCAATGCCCGGCACGAACGTCACACCGGCCTCGGGGAACCTGGCCACGATGCTCTGCATGTGGCGGAACGTGGCCAGGGCGAACCTGTGCTCGCGCTCGGCCGCCGCTGCCGCCTCCGACCCGTCAGCGACCCAGGGCACCCAGCGGTTGTGGGCGCCGGCCCAGGGCGACGTGTAGTTGATGTGGGCCGCCGGGTCGAGGAAGAACGTCTCGGCCGGCGCGGGGAAATCGCGGGCGACAATGGTGACCTCGATGGAACCGTCGGGGTGCTCTTCGAGGAGGCGGAGGGCGGCACTGAGGCCAATAACACCGGCACTGGAGTCATGTTAGTTTGAGGAATGCAAGGAGGAGCAAGGGTGGAAAGGTGACAACATACCCAATCACAGCGACCTTGGCAGGCATGGTGACGTTTGTGTAAAGAAGAGTCATGGAAGACAGACGCTTGGGGAGTGATGGTGCAGCGACGGCGACAGAGTTTGGGTTGCCAGATCAGAGTTTGTAGTAAGTTGGCCTTTGCTGATTTATATATTCGGAGAAGAGAAGATGTGCGCCAAGGACGACCGACGACGAGAGATAGTACGAGGTACAAGAATGACTGGAAATCAATAAACTGAAAATGCAAACCGATCAACGGTATAAAGAGAACGAAAAGCGACAAGGTCGTGTACAAGACTGGACATCAGGAGCGTCGTGGAGGAGACGGGCCGTTCGCGGCCAAGAGGTCGTGTGCGTTGGCCGATTCGCAGAGCGGTCTCGACTTGTGCGGAACAAAACCGAATGCGCCTTGTGTAAACGTGCGTGAACGTGGCTTGAAGAGGTGGCGCTGAAAGTCGGAGTAAATAAAAGCGAGACAGCCAAACGATGGCGCGCCAAAGAGGAAAGCGACTCGTGCGTTGTTCCTTCCTCGGTCTTCGTCTTGCTGCACCGGGCGGGACGTGCCTTTGTGCTAGTCGCCGAGCATCGGGGCGGCCTAAACAAGTAATTACGGAGGCACTGGTACGGTGATGGTTGTTCCTGGGGAGCTTAGGAAAGAGCGTCTATGGCGAATAGAGCACCGAGGGAAGGAGCACCAAACACGAGGAGAATTGACAAACAGAAAATAAAATAGAATAAAATCCAATGTAGAACAACTGACAAGGCTGTCAATACACACAAAGGCTTATCAGGCGATACCCTGCATTAAAAAAACAATGGCCCGCTACGAAAAAAAGGAATTACGACGGCGTTTATAGGCTTGCGCCGATGCAAGTCAGACTTGACTTGGACGGTTCAGTCTTCGCTTTTGTTTTTATTTCCGTGAATGACTATCGCGACTCAACGACTATTTATGCCATGCCGTAGTCGGGCGTCCTACCTCGGCAGGCTGTCTCTGCTTGTCCCGTTGTGTCTTCCCCTCTTCCGCTGCACGTCCAGCCACCACTTCACCACAAAACCTAAGGCCAACCGTCGTTCTCATCACAGTGGGCGCACTAGTTTGTCTCGACATCCGTCCAGGCCGTGCCCGACATCGTCTTTGCATGTGTCGTCGTCTCCGAGCTCGCCTCCGGTGGTGTGGGGATCGCATCCCATTGCAGCAGGCTGATCATCGTGGAGTGATTGTGTCCTCTCGATCGGATGCATGCGACTTGTCTGTGTCGCGTTGACCGACAGTGTCCACAGCCATTTTCGTCGGCCTTCGTGCATTGTCGCGACATGGCATGGCCGCGTGTTCACGTGCTCGTATGGTCTAGGCTGCATGTGGCAGGTATTCTTGTTGCCGCCGTCGGGTTTGGTATCATAACCTCCTCTCTCGTCACACCGTATCGGAACGACGAGGCAGACTCGAGCGTGGGAGGATGTCGAAGAAAACGGCCTAAAGCGGTTTGCCTCTGTGTGTGTGTGTGTGTTTGTGTGTTTCATCCTCATCTCAAGTACCCATTCAACCACCCGTTTTTGTCGTCTTGCCTGCTTTCTGGCCCGTCGACTGGTGCGTCTTGGCCTTGACCCTGCCGTTGGTTATCGGTGGCAGAGGTGCTGCCGCGGGTTTCGGAATCTTAAAGGGATGCGCCTCCGTGTTGTAGACATAGTCGTCCAGGCTAAAGTAGTCGGGTTCCGTAAACGTCAAGTACAGATACTTGAGCGTCTCGGCAAACCAGAAGCTCTCCATGGAGTCCAGTTTCTGCGGGGGCCCCGTCACCGTCACGTCGGCAATCGCCGAGTTGGCGTGCTTGGTCGCCGTCGACCGCTCAATGTTCAGGTACATGCGCCACGCCGCTTCCTGCAGCGACCGGTCGCCCGTGATGCGGTACAGCAAAAAGACGCTCTCGACGGCCTCGGGCCGCAGCAGGTAGCGCGGGTCGCGGATGGCCGCGAACCCCGGCGGGTAGCGGCCGGTCTTGTCCTTGGGGAACTGGGCGGCGCGCCACGCCGGCTCGTCCCAGGGACAGGCCGTGGTGTTTTCCGCGGCGGACGCGGCGGACGCGGCCTTGTTCGTCGCGATCAGCGCCATCTTGTCCAGCCAGCCGCTCGGCTTGGGGCACGGCACGAGGTCAAAGGACTCGGGCATGACGCCCGTCGGGAATGCGTCGTAGGCCCAGATGCAGCCCTGCGTCAGCTTGGTGCCGACCTCGACGTCGGCCGGGCGGTCAAACAGCTTGCCGCCCAGCGCAAACATGCCGCCGGCAAAGCAGGCCAGGTGCTGGCCCTCCGGCATCAGACTGACGCCGTTGCGGGGGCCGCCGGCCAGGACGGTGCCCGACACAAGAATGTCGTGGCCCCGCACGTCCGGGTCCGGGATCATGGGACGGAACAGCAGGTGCTGGCGCGCGGCGTCGGCGGCCTTGACGTACATGTCGCGGTACGCGGCGTCCTGGCCGCCCAGCAACATGTGCATCTTGGGCAGGTACTCGTAGAGCGAGTCGGCCATGCCGCCGAGTGTGTACATCTGGCCGTTCGCCTTGAAGCCGTTCTGCAGATCCAGGAACGTCGGCCAGAGGCCGGGGATCGTCGTAGTGTCCTGGACCTGCGCGAGCGCGCGCTTGATGCGGTCAATGGCGTCGTAGAAGCGGTGGTCGCCCGTCAGCTGCGCCAGCTTGGTGAACTCGAGCGACAGCGTGCCAACGGCGGCCGAGGCCTCGTGGTCGCCCGGTACCAAGAGGCCCTGCCAGGCGCGGTCAAAGTGGAACCGGTTCGCCGGCATGTGCGAGGCCGTGTCGAAGGCGGCCAGCAGCATGTGTGCCAGCTCCTTGGCCTTGTCCAGCAGAGGCGTGGCGCCGCTCATCTCGTAGGCCGACAGCAGCCCGCCGAGGTAGCGGATGTTGGTCTCAAACAGGCTGCACTCGAAGCCCGTGGCGGCGTCCCAGTCGATGGTGGCCACGGCCCGCACGGCCTCGTCAAACTCGTTGCGCAGGTCCATGATCCACAGCGTGTCGAGCGCGTCCACCAGCGTGGCGCCCCAGCCGCTGAAGCCGTCCTTGCCTTTCAGCTTGATGGGCAGCAGCTCGTCGTAGCCCCAGGCGTGCTGGCGGTAGCTCTCCCAGGCGCGCAAAAAGGCGCTGCGGATGGCGTCGCGGCGCGTGTCGCGCAGCAGCTTTACGTCGGCGGACTTGTAGTCGGGGTCGGCGCGGAAGTTGTACTGGATGGCCGGCATGGGCGCGGGCGTGCCAGTCGGAAGGCGCACGAGGCTGGCGTCGGGGATGGGGTGCAGGCGCTGGCGCAGCGCCCAGTTCACAGAGCTGTTGACGTAGAAGATGGGGTCCGTGGACTCGCGAGCGGGCTGCAGCACCTTGTGCAGGTGCACACGGCCGGCGCGGGGCTGGAAGACGTAGACGATGAGGAGAAAGGCGGCGGCGACGGACACCAAGAGGCGTGTTTTGCGCCGCAGTGAGATGGCCGACAAGAGGATGGCCATGGTGGGTGAGCGGGGGCGGCTGCGTTATCAGATCTAAAGAGTCATGATACAGTCACGAGGGTACATAGTATGTCTGGGAATAGAGAAAAGGAAACTGAAGGGCCAGAAAAGACAAAAGACAAAGGCAAAAAGGTAAGAGGCAAAATATGAAGGCAAGATGAAGCTCACGAGAGGCTCACGATGAGATGCGCAACATATGTGTTTCCAATGGGGTGGGACAGCAGACGACGGGAGACGGAAGGCGGAAGGCGGAAGCCGATGTTGAAAAGGCTAAAGTGCGAATATCAGACAGGGTCTTTGTTTTCTTTTTCTCTTCCCTTTCCCATGTGGTCTGTGGCTGTTGATAAAGTAGAGCTTCTTTGGAGGTGGATCGACGTTGGAGCCAAGCCGAAAGGATCCTGGGGCAGGGGCTAGTGAGCCATGCAGAGGGAAGGTGCAGTGGGTGGGACGGAAACACGAGGTCCGAGACGGGAAAGAGCAGAGGGCAGTGAGTTGTGAGATAATGAGACAGCGGGGGGAAGGAGCGACGAGCACAGGCCTGCCAAGAATGCCCAAGGATGCCCAAGGATGCCCAAGGATGCCCTAGGATGGGAAGGAGCGTATGAGGGAAGCGACCACAGCTCAGTCAGCCTTCAGGTTGACTATCATCGCTTCTGCCGTCCGTACGATGTCGGGGTTGTAGTCGACGCTGTTGATGTACCCCGTATGGCTGCACTCTCGGCACAGGCACTCTTCAGGGACCGCCTGAACTCGCCAATAAAACGCCACAGAAGCAGCCAGTGTCAAAGTGCGAAACACTGCAGTTTCAGCCCAGAAAGCCGCTCGAGAGACAAGAAGACGGTGAGTGGATAAGTTGTGAAAGAGGATGACAGAGATAACGGCTTCGGTCCCGTTTTTCAACTTACACCTTGTTGTAGCAGTTGAGGCTTGAACACGACCTCGTAACTCGAGCAGAATTATGCTTCTTTACCTGGAGCACTAAAACACTAAAATACAGCGCCAAGCCATAGCGCCGGGAGCACTCTTTAGCGGTCTACAGCGAGCCCAAGCCCACCGCCTGCAGATGACTAAGCGGGTCTCCCGATAAGATAACGCTTTTTTTTCTGCCACCAAAACGCACAATCTACTGGTAACATCCTACGACATTCTACCTCGACATTCACCCACCACCCACCACACACAATGTCGTCATCAATGCGAAACGCCATCCAGCGGCGCTCTCACCGCGAGCGTGCGCAGCCGCTGGAACGCAAACGGCTTGGCCTGCTCGAAAAGCACAAGGACTACAGCCTGCGTGCCAAGGACTGGAACAAGAAAAAGGCCACCCTCCAGAGCCTGCGCGAGAAGGCGGCCGCGCGCAACGAGGATGAGTTCTCGTACAAGATGATCAGCCGCGGCCGCGGTCCAGGCACGGCCTTGTCGCGCGGCAGCGACCAGAAGCGCGACCGCCACTGGACCGGCACCGTCGACGGCGACCGGGGCAACCGCGCGCTGCCGGTGGACGCCGTGCGGCTGCTCAAGACGCAGGACACGGGCTATCTGCGGACGGTGCGGAGCGTGCTGGTCAAGGAGGTGGCGCAGCTGGAGCAGCGGGTGGCGCTCGCCAAGGCGTTTCTGGGCGTGACCGACCTGGACGAGGACGAGGACGAGGACGAGGGCGAGGGCGAGGACGAGGACGACTTTGACTTTAGCGACCTGGACAGCGCGCCCAAGAGCACGGCAGCAAAACCCAAGGCCCAGGCGCAGAGGCCGCTCGCCAAACCCACACGCATCGTCTTTGCCGAGAACGCGGCCGAGCGCGACACCAACGTCCAACACGTGATGGCACGGGACACCCAGGCCGCTGTGGACGACGACAGCGAGGAGCGCCAAGAAAAGGTGGACAACGCACGGCGGCTGCAGAGACGGCTCGTCAAGGCCCGGGCGCGGCTGCAGGTGCTGGACCAGGCAGAGCACGAGCTGGACCTGCAACGCGCGCGCATGGCCAAAACGGCAACGATGGACATGGTCACGAAGAGCGGCAAGAAGATCAAGGTCCGGGAACGGAAGCGGTGAGCGGGTGTGATGAACGATTTGGTATTGGTATTGGTATTGGTGTTAATATTGGTACTGGTATTGATATTTTGGCACTGTTTTCCAGCATGGCTATGGCAGGTCATTTGGCCACGGGGCATTTTATTTTCTCAGTTTAGGCGTTGGACGGTCAAAAGCACATTTACTTTTCTTGGATTTGTTGATGGGACGAACGCAGAGTGTATGAATATATTGTGAATGGCTAATCAAGCAGAAAGTGGAAAACAGGAAGCAGCAACAGAAAGCAGCAAACGAAAGAAACAAAACGCCTTATCCGAATGTATACGCCAGCATCAAACATGAATATCTAGAGCAGCACTAAAATTACACGCAGGCGCCAAGGAAAGGACGCCATACACCATAGAAAAGAATACAGTCATCATCAGTCGTCGAGGCATTGGGGGGAAAAAAAACACGAAAAAGACGACGACTCCCTACAACAGCTTCTCCGACGTCACGCATTTAAAGAGACCGCCCACAATCGCCAGTATCGCCCGCACAACCATGGCCACACACCAGAAGCAGCACTTGAACAAGACCGTGATCAGCCGCAGACAGCCAGGCATCTTGTCCTCGTCTTTTTCCTTGCGGCGGCGCTTCTTGCTCGCCTTGGCCGTCATGCCGCCGCCCGTGCCGCCATTGTCCATCATGCCGACGTTGCGGCCACCACCGCCCACGGGGCCCATCTCAAACATCTTGCCGGACAGGTCGATGCTCGTCTGGCTCTCGAGGTCGAGGTCAAAATCGTCCATGCGCGGACGGCCCCTGGACGACTTGCTCTTCTTGCCGCTAAAGAAGCCGAACCCAAGGCTGCTGCTCTTCCGGCTGGCAGAGCCTCGCTTTCCGCCGCCTTGGACGCCGGCCCCGTCACGCATGCTCTGCCGGCTCGTGCCGCCACGGCCCATGGCGCCGCCCAGGACCATATTGACGAGAGACGCGTGGGCGCTGTCGTGGTGCCCCAGGCCGTGCTGGTGCATCGCCAGCCGGCTGTCGGGCGGCGGCGCAAACTGCTCGACGGCCGCAAACTGGCCGTCGTTGTGCGCCACCAGCAGCAGCGCCGTCACCACGACGTCCACGAGGTACACGGCGTCAATCTTGCTGGCGATGCCCGTGTCCACCTCCAGGTAACCCGCGCCGGTGCCGTCGCGCGTCAGCCGCGCCAGGTGCTGCGGCGACTCGCGGTGCTCGAGCGTGTACGCGGTGCGGCTCCAGGTGCTGCTGCGCTCAATGGTCACGGCAAACGGCAGGGCCAGGGTCGGGTGCACCAGAAAGTACGTGCTGGTGTCGTCGTCCCAGACGAGGCGCGCGCACTCGCGCTCGGCGGTGGCGACCATGGCGGCGTCGTGTGGCCGCTCGAGGGCCATGCGTGTCGCCGCCGCCGGATACAGCAGCGCGACGAGGCCGTCCTGGGGCTGGTGGCGGCGCGCTTCCTCTTCGAGCGTCGTCGTCAAGGCCACCTGCCAGTTCTTGCTGCCGTCGAAGCGGGCATTGCGCGCCGCCGCCGCCACCGCCGCGCTGCTTTCGACACCGCCGCCGCCGCCGCCACCAGCAATGCTGCCGCCCGAAACGCCCATGTCCAGTACACTGTTGCGGCTGCTGCTGCCGCCGCCGCCCTCAGCACCGTCGGCATCGGCGTCTGTACTGTTTGCATTGTTGCTATTGTTGTTGTTGTTGTTGTTGCCCTTCGACTCCAGCTTAAAGGGCCGCGCCGGGTCATGCCGGGACACCGTCACATACGCCGACATGGACGTCGGGTCTAGGCGCAGGCGGTAAAACGGCTGGTGATTCGCCGACGACAGGCGGTACACGGGCGCGTCGCGGTCGCACGACATGCGCAGACAGAACACGCGGCCCTCGGAGGGCCCCGCCTTCCACCCGTTGGCGACCTTCCACAGGCTGCGCAGGTCGTCCGAGGTGGACGGGACGGGCAGCGATGGCGGGTCGCCGCGGGGGTGGCCCACGGGCACGGGACCCGAGTGCATGGGCACGTGGACTTGTACGGGCGGCGGCACGGCCGGGTCGTTTGGTGGTGTGATGTGCACCGTGGGCCGCTGCCGTGCGGGACTCGCGACGCTGGCGCTGCGTGCATAACCGGGCGCCGGGCTGGTGGTCCGGGCGGCCGCATCCACGTTCTGGTCGGACGGCTGTTGTGGCTGCTGTGACTGCTGCTGCGTCGTCGATACGGGTGAGTACAGGGGCCGGCTGATGACGCTCCGCGGAATGCGCGTGGGGCTTGTCTGTGTGGGAAAGTAGTTTTGCTCGTCCAGCGACACGTCCGGGTTGTACTGCGGGAAGATGGACCGCAGGGCAGGTGGCCGGTGCCGTTGTGCGTCCTGCGTGCTCTGCTGCTGCAATTGCTGCTCGGCCAGCGTCGCCGCACCCGTCGGCATGGGCGGTGGCGGGTCGTCGTCCATCGGCGGGCCGTCGTCGTACATGGACAGCCGGACCTTGGCAATCGAGCTGCGGGAACGCACGCTGCTGTTGCGGCCTGGCTCGTTGTCGTCGTTGCTTGCGGTTCGCCGCACGGACGTTCGATCAGCGACTGCCGCGGGAGCGGGGATCTGCACTTCGGCCGTCACGGCCTCGCCAATGGTCTGTGGGATAAGGGCTGTTGGCTCAGGTGTGGCGCGCTGTCGTTGTTGTTGCTGTTGGGGCGAGGCGGCGCGGGGCCGGGATAGTTGTGTTCTGGATGGCGGACGGCCGGTGTTTGGGAAGAGAGAGAAACCTCCAGATGGTGTTGTTGCGGACATTTTGTGGCGAGGAAAGAAGTGGTGGTGATGAGAGAGAGTTAGGAAGAGAAGAAGGAGAGAGCCTGTCTCTCTTGGCGATGGCACGGTCAACAGACTGCCTTGTCGTGCAGCAAGGTCAAACGTCAATCAAAAGAAACGAGATGCGAACCGAGTGTCACCAAAGCATGTTTGGATGCCCAGCGTAGATGGCCTGCATGAGGTTGTGCGAGTTTGCTTTGTATGAGATCGACTGGTGGGATGAGAGGTTCGTGTAAACAGAGAAGAGGAGACACGAACTAGTACGTTGCGGAGAGCGAAGGTGGAAAGAAGACGAGAAAAGTCCAGTTACGGTCAGACGACAGATACAAAAAAGTCAAAAAAGGGTTGCCCTTTTTTTCTTTTCCAAGTTGCACGGGCGGGAAGGAAACAGCAGACAACATGCATATATTGCTCTTGATGGCTGTGGGCAACGGCCAGCGACTGGTGACCAGAGAACGTAGAAAGAGCATGGACCCCTGCCCGACCAAGTTTCGCTGGATTTGTGATGTAGGGACAGAAAGCGGTTATTTTTACTTTTACGACATACCTGACTCCTCGATCCCTCCTCCAGTCCGCCTCACCCTGCAAGTGCTTCCGTGCGTCCCACCCACAACCACAAGAATGGACGGGCGCGGACCCAAGAACGGTCGAGAGTGTAGGATCAAGTGCGGGAGGTTCACCAACCTCCCTTGTCTATCTGCCGCCATGCATCTCCCCTCTTTTGGTCTTGTTCATCGCCTGTTTCCGTATTTTTTCAAGCTTCTACCTTCCTGGAGTCACATTAACAGCAGTGATGGCTCCCACTGGAACTGTCAGCCATTGACGGCCGCCAGGCCTTGGACGAAGACGAGGGGAAAGACGAAGAGGTTGGAGGGACATGGGTGACAAGAATAGCAATGTGACAGTCGACGCCCGCAGTCCGTCTCGTCTCTTCCTTGCCTATTGCAATTTTCGACGTTTCTAAACAACATCGAAACGCCCGGATGCGCGCGTCTGCTGAAGAGCGACTGGTAAACGAAACGAAAGAAAGTGTTTGCGTGCCCTCTGTCTTTCAGTATTTCCTCTTTAAGCGCTGGCCCAGGCAGCCAGGGTCTCTCAAAAGTGGGCCAGTGACCGTTGTAAAGAAGTGGTTGGTGGGCATCGAGTCGGTGACCGTAACGACACAGAAGAAGGCCCGTCGTGGTGGTTTGTGCGGCACTGGGGACTGCCAAACAAAAAGAGAGGGAAAAGGAAAGGCGGTCGGCACAAAGAACTAGGTAATATGGCAGTCGCGACCGGCCATTGGCTGGGGCCCGGGACGCCCCATGGGCGGGTTGCGGGAAGCGCTGCCAAATATAGAAAGAAACAACAAGCCGCGTAGTGGGGCCTGGGCCAATCACAGCGCACATCACCCTGCAGCATGTCCGTTTAGACGCCGAGCACACCTCTGGTCTTATTTGCAACTCGTCGACTCGTCGACTCCAATTCATGTCGTTCAGCTTGCCCATTCTATGTTGTCGAGAAGAAAACCTCCATTTCCACTCACAGAAAGACGTCTCAGCGGCAAAGCAGCCCGAAGGCCTGATAGGGTGGATAAAGAAATGAAAAACACATGCACGTAAGCAGGTACATACGGTGCGTGTCAACGTTATGAACTGCCTACAGAGCATGTAAAACGTGGACAGGGAGAATCACGTGGAGCGCTCGGTACATGGTGGATAACCATGACGCTTGTTGTCGTTTTGCATCATTGAAGCTTTGCCAGCCGCCGCACACAATGAGTACGACGCTCCATCGGGCACTGATCCCGGTAACCAGGCGCCGTGGCGGCGGGTACGAAGAACTGCTGCGGTACCAGAAAACAAGATCTATTAATTTGTGTAGGGGACAAACACTTGTGTCCAAGATCGTATATAGACGATGTGACAGCCCCGTGTTCATCTGCAGACGCTGGCTGGTGCCGCCGAGCAGAAATCCGCCTCGCTGAGCCATCCATCTATATTGTGTATGAGTTTATGAATGAGATGATTTTGGTTTTGTCGCAAGCGACAAGAGCCCGACAAATAAACGCCATGCCAAATGAAAAAACGGTAAAGTGAACAAGAAGGCATGCTTTGCAGATGCACAGTATCGCAAGGCAAGACAGCCTGTCCGTAGCGCCCGTCCCCCCAACGTGCTGCTTCCTCTCACTCGTCCTCGCTGTCCTCGTCCGCCTCCTCCTCCTCGTTCTGCTTGAAAATCACCTTCTCGGCCAGCCGCAGGCACTGCCGCACCGGCAGCCCAATCACATTGTCCAAGTTGCCCTCAATGCGGCTCACCAGGAGGAGCCCGCCCGTGCCCTGCACCGCGTACCCGCCGGCCTTGTCCGCGCCCTCGCGGGTCCGCACGTAGCTGTCAATCACGGCGTCCGACAGGCCCTCGGACTGCTTGACGAAAACGACCTTGGTCTCCTCCGTGTGCGACGCCATCGAGTAGCCCGGGTGCGCGGCGTCCTGCCGCGGCGACAGCACACACACCGCCGTCAGCACGCGGTGGGCGTCGGTGTCGCGCAGGTGGCGCAGCATTTTCACGTGGTCCTGTGCGGAGCGCGGTTTTTCGAGAATCTGGCCGGCGCGGGTCACAATGATCGTGTCGGCGGCAATCACGAGCTCCGGGTCGGCGGCGACGGGGTGGTGCTGCTGGGGCTCGGCCGCGGCAAGCTCGGCCTCCTCCTCCTGCGACTTCAAGACCTCCTGGTAGACGTCGAGGCACTTGCGGTGCGCGGTTTCCGACACGTACTCAAAGGGCCCGTACATGGTCTTGGACAGGTCCTCGGGCTTGCTGGACGGCCAGATCTCGAGCTTGGTGAGGCCGACCTGCGCGAGCAGCTGTTTCCGGCGCGGCGAAGCCGAGGCCAGGATGACGCGGCGCGAGCGCAGGTGTGCGAGAATGGGGAGGTCCATGGGCGGCGGCGGCTTGCGGGGCGGCGGCACGATTCGTGGTCGGCCAGACGCGGCGGCGGCAGAACCATCAGGGGCAGCAGCAGGCTCGTGCTCGGCCGCCGCGGTGTAGACCGGCGGCGGATCGGACGGAATGGAGCTGTCGGCCGACGCGGCGCCCTTGGTGTCGGACATTGTGAGGGTGGTCGGTGTGGATGGGTTGGCTGTCGAGGAGAGTTAGGAAGCCCGGCGCCTCCGCGGTCAAGTCAATTGGCGGAAATGAGCCTCGTATGCGTATTCTACCTATGCGAATAGACACGTCGTCGTGAAGAAACGAGTGACAAGTACGAGAGAGAAGAGCGGCCTCAATGAAACTCGATGCCCGGAAAGAGGCAAGTTGACGTACCTGACGTATTCCCAGGTGTAATTGCGTTCTCGTTGCCAATAGAGCTCTATAGCATTCCAGTGACCCTGTTTCATTTGAGGCGCTCCTGCTTATCTTATCGGGTCATTAATATGGGGCACCTACTAGCGCCTATTTGTTGTGGACCCTTCTTAGTCATCACGGAGGAATTACCCCCAACATGCATCGGAGGACCTTGCCCCGCTTTAATTTTGTTATTCGCATCGGCCGTCAGCCATCCATCTCAGATCAGTCACATGCCAACTTCTCCACCATGCCGAACGTCGTTCGCACTTGCCGACCGCACCCTTAGAGCCGCAGCCACAGGCCAAAAGTACGACAGCATTCACAGAACGGACTCGAATCCATCGCAAGACACAACCGACGGCTGCTGCTATCCCTTGGACGTCCCCTCACATGCCTTGGCTGCCGAGTCCCGCGACCTATTTTATATGCCTGTCCCCACGGCCTCGTCCACGGCGACCTCTGTGTCCTTGGTCCATGTCTTGATTTGCGACGCCGCCTCTTATCGCTCGCCCTTTGCTTTTGATTAAAAACCTCCGTCGACCGCACAGCACCCGTCATCCACAATCTCTCTCTACATCGACCAATTCTCCTCTGCCTCGCCATGTCATCTCCGCAATCAGCAACAACGCCGCAGGGCGGCGAGACGGCCGGCGCAGCGACTGGCTCGGGGGTGGAGGAGAAACCGCGCCTGACGGAGCGCGAGAAGAAACAGAACCACATTGCGTCGGGTGCGTCCTTGGGCCTCTGTAGTTGGTGCGCGAGAGTTCCATTCGTCTGCTAACACATTTCTCTGCAGAACAAAAACGACGCCAGGCCATCCGCGAAGGCTTCGACCGGTTGACTGAGCTCGTCCCCGGCCTCGAAGGCCAAGGCCGCTCCGAAGGTCTTGTGCTGCAGCGCACGGTCGAGTTTATGAATGCGGAGCTCGAAAAACGGAGACAACTCATCCGCGACATTGAGAGCCGCGGCGGCACGGTCGATGAAAAAGACCGGCTGTAGGCTGCAAGAGCGGCCCGACGGACGGACGGGGTGCACAATTTAGCGTGGCCCCGAACTGCGACAGCTGTCGTTTGTCGAAACAGAACAGCGACAAGCATTGGGAACGGCGACTGGCGTTGGCGTGGTTGTTTGTGGAATTCTTATGTTCATGTTCATTCTCATTGTCATTTTCTTTCGTTTTGTTGCCACTGCGTTCTTCTTCTCTAGATGGACATACACGGACGAGGATGGCTGGGTTTCATCATCATTTATAGCATGTTCCCCTTCATGGAACGGTACCTGTACGATTACCAGGCGATAGGTGCCCAAAAGTGCAAAGAGCTTGTACGTTACTTGGTGGATAGGCAATTATGTTGTACAGTATTTACAGTTCATTATCCGTAACATAGCAGTGGCCGTTGCCGTGGCCGTGGCCGTAACCTTGTCCAACCGCCGTCAATGGCTACTGGTAGGCGGCTACCTTTTCCTGGAGCAGTCGCAGCAGCGCCTCGGGCGTCATCTCGATGCTCCGCTTCTTTTCCTTGGATGGGGCTGCCCCCTCCTCGGCATTCCCATTCTTAACGGGGATGGCCGACAGATCGACGGAAACGGTACCCTTGGCAACGTCCTTGGGCCCAACGACCACGATTGCGCCATAGCCCTTGGACTTGGCCTCG